CTTCCTGTGTTCAACATTTGCTTATATTACAAATGTTCTTACTTTTAAAATGAAAGGTTTGCTTAATACAATTAACAGCATTTTTTTAGAGACACGGCGATTAGTCAAAAGTGGCGTCGGCAAAAAAAGAGGTGATGCTTGATTGGGCTTGCTATCCTCCTACATAAATTTTCACAGACTCCTATTTTCTCTATAGACAAGTATGCTATTTCACCTCTCCCATACCTTTGAACAGGATTTGCTTTCCTTTACCATGCAGCTTATTGTCAATAGTTAGAAAGTTGGTATATCAGTTTAGATATGATTTCTCATGCATGTTTAGTCATACTTAATTGAGATGCTGCTTTAGCTAATTTGTTATGTCGTTAGTGTAGTTCTAAAATATCGCTTATATTTTCTAAAATTACTTTCTTTCAAAAGTAAAACGAGCGTGTGAACAAAATTATGCTTGCTTTAGTTCTTTACACGTCACATACTCAACAAAAGATGAGAGATTTAATATAAATAACGCGACCACATTCATATCAGTTAAAATTGGTGATCATATTTCATTCCTTATTGTTACATCAATCTTTTATTTATATTAACATTAATTTCAATAGTAACATTAATTTTTTATCCATGTAAGTTTTGTTACGTAAACACATTGAAATAAGGAACGAAGATGAAGAGCGAGTCAGGATCTTCTTCAAGATTATAAAACATTAATGACATCTCTGTAGAACATTCAAGTTCTATAGTTAGGTGTACATCACTGACTAAAAACAGTGGTTATTGAAATAAAAATACATGAATAAGAGCCTCATGCAGAGTACATAATAACATTGAAATGAGTCAAATTCCAAAGGACTACTTTAAATAATATAAAGTTTAACAAGTTTTAACTCAGAAATAAAGGATCACCTTTCTAAAATAGGATTTGAACGTGAATGATTAAGACACAATTTTTGAAACTTTAAATCGATTTTTTCATTTCACTAATCAAAAATTCCATACGTGTATATTATTGCAAAAGTCAGTTTATATTATAAAAAGACCTTTGTTATTGAATAACCCATTGTAAATTATCAATACATTTACATTATCAACTGCACGCAATTGTAAATAATTATGATCAATAAAAAAACACTATACATATAACAGTAAAGGATGCAATAAAAGTAAACTTTATCACTGTTAAACTAACATATGATCAAAAATATTTTTTTGAAAGCTCTGTGTTGCATGAATCAACATTTCACAAAAAATAGATTCGGTCACGTTCTTTCTCTGTTCGTAAATACATTCTTCCTGTGTTTAACTTTTGCTTATTTTTCAAATTTTCTTACTTATAAAAAAAATGGCTTGTTGTATACAACTATGAACATAATGCTAGACACACAGAGATTAGTCAAAAGTGGCGTCAGCAAAGAAGGAAGGTGATGCAGATTGAGAAGCCAACGGGCCGCATCTGACCCGCGGGCCGTAGTTTGGACACCCCTGGTGTAGACAAAATTATGCTCGCTTTAGTTCTTTACATGTCACATACCTTACAAAGATAAGAGATTTAATATAAAGAACGCGACCACATACATATCAGTTAAAAACTGGTGATCATAATTCATACCTTATTGTTACATCAATCTTTTATCCATGTAAGTTTTGTTTCATAAAACACATTTAAATAGCGAACGAAGATGAAGAGTGAGTCAGGATCTCCTTCAACAAACACTGTTATAAAACATTAATAACGTCTATGTAGAACATTCTAGTTATATAACTAAGTATACATCAATGACTAAAAACAATTGTTATCGAAATAAAAATACACAAATAAGAACCTCATGCAGAGTAAATAATAACATTGAAATGAGTCAAATTCCAAAGGACTACTGTTAATAATATAAAGTTTAACAAGTTTAAACTCAGGAATAAAGGATGACCTGTCTAAAACAGGATTTGAATACCAATGATTAAGACACAATTTTTGAAATTTAAAATCGATTTTTTTACTTCACTAATCAAAAATTCCATACGTGTTTATTATTGCAAAAGTCAGTTCATATTATAAAAAGACCTTTGTTATTGAATAATCCATTGTAAATTATGAATACATTTTAATTATCAACTGCACGCAATTGTAAATATTTATGATCAATAAAAAACACCATACATATAACAGTAAAGGATGCAATGAAAGTAAACTTTATCACTGTTAAACTAACATATGATCAAAAGTATAGTTTTGAAAGCTCTGTGTTGCATGAATCAACATTTCACAAAAAATAGATTCGGTCGCGTTCTTTCTCTGTGTAAATACATTCTTCCTGTGTTTAACTTCTGCTTATTTTTCATTGTAGAACATTCAAGTTCTATAGTTAGGTGTACATCACTGACTAAAAATAATTGTTATTGAAATAAAAATACATAAGTAAGAGCCTCATGCAGAGTACATAATAACATTGAAATGAGTCAAATTCCAAAGGACTACTGCTAAATAATATAAAGTTTAACAAGTTTTAACTCAGGAATAAAGGAATCGTCTTTCTAAAGTAGGATTTGAATGTGAATGATTAAGACACAATTTTTGAAACTTTAAATCGATTTTTTCACTTCACTAATCAAAAATTCCATACATGTATATTATTGCAAAAGTCAGTTCATATTATAAAAAGACCTTTGTTATTGAATAACCCATTGTAAATTATCAATACATTTTAATTATCAACTGCACGCAATTGTAAATACTTATGATCAATAAAAAAACACTATACATATAATAGTAAAGGATGCAATGAAAGTAAACTTTAACACTGTTAAACTAACATATGGTCATAAGTATAGTTTTGAAAGCTCTGTGTTGCATGAGTTAACATTTCACAAAAAATAGATTCGGTCGCGTTCTTTCTCTGTGTGTAAATACATTCTTCCTGTGTTTAACTTCTGCTTATTTTTCAAATTTCCTTACTTATAAAAGAAATGGTTTGTTGTATACAACTATCAACATTTTGTTAGACACACAGAGTTTAGTCAAAAGTGGCGTCAGCAAAGAAGGGAGGTGATGCATGATTGGACGTGATATTCCCCTTACATAAATTTTAACAGATTCTCATTTTTCCAAAGACAAGTATGCTATTTTACCTTTCCCACCCATACCTTTCATCAGGTTTTGCTTTCCTTTACCATTCAGCTTATTGTCAATAGTTAGAAAGTTGGTATATCAATTTAGATATGATTTCTCATGCATGTTTAGTCATACTTTATCGAGATCCTTTAATAGCGAAATTGTTATGTAAAGTTAGTAATATAGTTTCAGAAACTCGCTTTACTTTCGACAAATTACCTACGTTTTAGAAACAAGACTTCATATATGACGACCGTGTGAACAAAATTATGCTTGCTTTACTTCTTTACATGTCACATACTTAACAAACGGATGAGAGATTTAATGAAAACAACGTGACCACATACATATTAGTTAAAAATGGTGATCATAGTTCATGCCTTATAGTAATATCAATCTTTTATCCATGCACGTTTTAATACATAAACACATTTAAATAACGAAGATGAAGAGTGAGTCAGGATCTCTTTCAACAAACGGTATTATAAAACATTAATGACATCTTTGTAGAGCATCTATGTAGAGACAGTTAATATCAACATTCCTCACGACTCTACTCTGACCTGGACGATTTACATCTACAAACACGTAATTACCGTCAATGACGTCATGTGGTATTTGGTTTAGCAGAATTTTGTTAGTTGTAATACAGCATTGACAATGATTTAACCATACAGCATTGACCATGAACTAACTATACAGCATTGACCATGAACTAACCATACAGCATTGACCATGAACTAACCATACAGCATTGACCTTGAACTAACCATACAGCTATCACCATGAACTAACCATACATTATTGACCATGAACTAACCATACAGCATTGACCATGAACTAACCATACAGCATTGACCTTGAACTAACCATACAGCATTCACGATGAACTAACCATACAGTATTGACCAAGAACTAACCATACAGCATTGACCATGAACTAACTACAGCGATGACCATGAACTAACCATACAGTATTGACCATGAACTAACCATACAGCATTGACCATGAACTAACCATACAGCATTGACCATGAACTAACCATACAGTATTGACCATGAACCAACCATACAGTATTGACCATGAACTAACCATACAGCATTGACCATGAACTAACCATACAGCATTGACCATGAACTAACCATACAGCATTGACCATGAACTAACCATACAGTATTGACCATGAACTAACCATACAGCATTGACCATGAACTAACCATACAGCATTGACCATGAACTAACCATACAGCATTGACCATGAACTAACCATACAGTATTGACCATGAACTAACCATACAGCATTCACCATGAACTAACAATACAGCATTCACCATGAACTAACTATAAAGCAATGTACTCATAGTTTAGTCTGATAAATTTTGTGATTTGTTAACATTTTATTTTTTACTTCTGTGATGTTCAATAAGTGAAATTGGACAAAAGAATTTTAAAAACTTTCGATTTTTACATTTTATCATACGTTTTTTAGAATTTGGAATCTTTGTTCCTGGTTTTTGATATAAGAATTCGATGAAACATTTTTTACTAGCGTTGATTTATCTCAGTAAATAACTTTAAGAAATTACTGCATGTGTCATGTTTTCATGCATTCGTTTGCTGAGGTAATTGGGCCCTGGGGTGTCATTTCGACGCTCAGTGTGTACTCTCTCATCCCCACCCGCCCCAATGTTCCCCCTCTCTTTGTGACGTCCTGCCATTTGCCTCAAATATTTCATTTACATCATTTCCGTTGCCCATATTGGTAAATTTCCTTCATTTGTCTTCTTTTGTAAACTGCTTCAATAATACTGTCGTGTATCGTGGATATTTTTTAAATGTAGAAAACACTTTGTATTTTCTTATAACTTTCTTGATGCTAGCATGGGTGGTGAGAGTTGATATTTGGTGATATCAAGCGATCATAAGGTACTCGTATATACATACTTTGTTAATATCTAATTATTTTTAATTATTTTTCTGATTGTCCGACAAATAAAACTATTTTTTTTACATGTTAGTTCAGTGGAGATTATGTTGAATTTGGCAAGTGTAGATATTACAAAGCAAGCAATTATTGATCGCTTGTTGGATGGAGTAAAGCAAGTTGTAAAATATTTGTACGTAGCTTAAAGTTCGAACTTGGAACTTGTAATTTCGTTTCGTCTTTTATTGTATTGATTTTACTCGAATGATTTGGTCGACTTGAACCTCGTCCTTTCTTTAGTGTCAGGTACGATTTGGTAGTACAACCGAATTGGCTTCTGAGAAGGATAGCAGGTAAACTTGATATTTCTTCGATTGTATTGTATTGTATTCATTTTATTTCATAGTATAATCCTTATTTATCATAATCTTTGTATTTACGATAAATTACAGAATCTCTTGTCTTTGTGAGCAATGGAACATTGTTCTTCAATTTGGCATTAAATCCACAAAAAAGATAAATTCTTTAAGGTATCTTCATCATCCCTCTCTCAATTCAGTCAATTTAAAAGCCATTCTTAAATAATTTGTTTTCATCATTTCTATGTTCATTAAAGGCAGGTGTTAATAAGATCTGAAGGTCAATCTGTGTTCTGGCTATTTATCAAGGAACATCTTAGCTCTAGTGAAATAAAGACATATAATTCTTTACATAATGTAATGACAGATGTTGGTAGAGGTTGGTCAAGTTGTTGGTTTTTAAATGATTCCAGGAATGTTTGTGGGTAAAACCTTTTTGTATGCCATGAATTTGTTCTGACATTTTTCTTTCTATTTTTGATATTTATTTGACAGCTGAAGCATGGCTTAGGTCTAGTTTAAACAAGCAATCACTGGAGAAATATCTTCATAGCTTCATTGGGCATAAACAATTGCTTTTGTAAGTTTGATTTAAGTAACATTTAAGAAAGAAAGATCAATCTTGGCTTGATAAGCTATATGATTATCATAGCCAATGTATAATGCGATATAGTAATGCAATTTTCTTTTAACGGTAAGCTGTTGATGTCAGAATAATTATACGATGTGTAATTGTTTTAATTTCAGTCAGTATTATGAGCAAGATGCATTATTATTGGATGATGAACGATCTAGTATGTTACCAATGATGGCAGCTGGTAAGAATAAACTTGTTTATATTTCTATAATGGATTTTTTATCATTCCTTGTTTCTTCTTTAAGGCTTAAGTTCAATTCTTTTTGCAATTGACATTGACAAAGCTGAGTTTAACTCTATTACTGTACAGGTATGCTGGAATGCTATTGATATTGTTTAAAAATGAATCTTTGCAAATAGAAATGGATAGTAAAAAAGTGGAAGCTATGAATGTACTTTTCTTTAACTACTTGAATTTAATTTAATTTTTAGATTCCGGGAAATATCAGCCAAGCAGTTTCTCGTCCAACATCAATATGGGCTGTACCATCACCAATGTATGCGACGTCAGGAGCTCCTGGTGAAGTTTGTTAAATACAACATTTTAAGAAAATAAAGATTTGATCAGAATTTCATTTTTCTCTCCTGATCAAAAATATCTCTTTTATCCCTAATTATCCCTACCATTCATCTCATATATCGCTAATCTTATCATTCCTTAACCACACATGTCATTTATTCCTTGTAATCCCCCAACCATACGTTCTCCTTAACCTTTATTATCCCATTATTACATGTCTTCATTTATCCCTTAACTATACCTGTTGTTTATTCATCCCTTATCATCCCTTAACCGCGCGTCCTCATTTATTCTTTATCATACTTGAACAATGCGTAGTCATTTATCCCCACGCGTCTTTATTAATTTGTAACTTTTATCTTTCTTTTGTGTTTCAGGAAAGAAAAGAAAAACGTAAAAAGAAAGCAAACATTGCTCAAATTGAAAATGTTGAATTCAAAGAGACGGAAGAAGGAACTTCTACTGTCAGTTCTCATGGTAGTTCTTCCACGACAACGACTGCTCACGATAGTGCCACGAGTTTTACCCGAGCGGCATACGACATATTACAACGTAATACTGATTCTCAGGTACATGCTCGTGGTAACCATGCTTTCACTAAAAGGCCTGACGATTTTCTTGAAATGCCAAAGAACTCTCAGTTGGCTTATTGTTCGAATTCTGAGAATTCAAGTCTTTCTTCCACAATGGCGAAAACCAACGTTGAGAACAAGGAGAATGAAACAGATGAACAAGTGGCTCGATTAACAAAGAAAAGCCAGGAAGTTCTGCATCTTAAAGACGAGTTTAAAACTGCGAATGATTTGAAAAAAAATCATTCTTTGACAACATCTTTGCAATCAGGGCATTACACTGACTCATCGCTCTTGTCGGAGGAAGAAGTGTGTGAGCCTCTTGTTGATATGAACAGCGGTGTATCTCTAATTCCCGTAGTTTGCCCCGATGACGATAAAGGAGTTAGGAGTCTAGCTATGTCAGATGAAAATGAGCGATTTACTGTTGCACCTGAGACGTCGCGACATTTAGTTCATTCAATAAATGATTCGCCCGTTTCAAGGTTAGAAGATACTTCATTATTTTATCGACAAGAATGTCTAACGAGTTCACCATTTTAACTGAGGTGGTAATTTATGTTGTTTTCAGTATTTACACTGATGAAGACGTCGAGAATGATGCAAGTTTAGCAATTGGAGCAACTGTTGCAGCGATATGTGCCACACGTGATGGTAGCATAGAAATTAATGATTACTCAGGATCGTCATTGGTCAGAACCATGGGTGATGGTTGTATGAATGTTAGTTAATTATGAAATGCTTTTATCTTTTTGAGGGAGGGTAGAAAGCCATGTGTAAATATCTTTGTTATATTTAGTTCGTTATATTTGGTATGTTTTCGTTCTTTAGCCATCAGAGGAATATCCATCAGGCAAAGAAATGACTTCAGGTTTGTGTGTTTTTTCTATTCATGTATTTAAATGGTTTTTATTTCTTATATCTTTTGGAAAAATGTTTTGGGAACGGGAGAGGCACTTTTGCCTCAGGTTCTCAAACTATAAATGGCCTATTAGCAGGTAGAGTTAGTTTTAAATATAGAAATATTTAGTGCAATTGGATTTTACTATTTGTATCGTAGTTGCTTTGCTTGTTTGTAGACATCCGTCAAATTTCATCATGTGAACTGAATATTTGTATGTGTGAATAATTATAATTTCATGAATATCAATAAATACGTGGTTTTTTGTTGTTGAAGAGGAATTAAAACAGGCGATTGTATCGATGATGTTAAGAAAAGATGAAGTTGAAGAACGTAACAGGTTGTATTATCGTCCTTCGTTTAATATTAACATTCCATTCGAATATACACTATTTTGCCCTGATTTTTCCTTCGATCATCTTTCCTGTAGATCGTTGCAACAACATTTGGAAAAAGAGATGATGAAGTCAGCTGCTCTTCGTCTTCAATTAGAAGATTTAAAAAGAGTTATGTCGTCGAAAAATGAAGAAAATTGCGTCGCTCTTAACGGCTTAAATAGGTTAGGACATTGAGAACTCTGCATTTCCGTTAATCAAAGATGTCTGTAGACCTGTTCGTTTTTGCTCTTTAGTGAAAATGATTTGCTCAAACACCAACTAAAGAAATACGTGGGTGCTGTTCAATCGTTGAAAAGAAATGACTTTATGGAAGAAGGTTTACTAGAGGGATAGTTTATCTTTAAAATAGATGTAGAAATCTAAGATATTCGATAATCTTTTGTGTAGCTCCAGAAAATGAAAGACTTTCTTCTATCATTCTTTCTCCGGAATCTGACGTCGACGAAGTGAGGTATTTACCGTAAATTTGTAGCAAAAGTGAATCAACGGCGTTGAATTTCGTTCCTTTTTCTTGTAGAAAGGAAGAAAACAAAGATTTTGAGCGGAAGTTGATCCAAGTAAGATTTCCATTAAACCATAATACTTTTACAAAACGAAACATTTGCCTTAAAAGGTCTTCAGGTATCATATGCTACATGAAGATGAGCCGAAATTTATTTGATAGAAAACTCTTTTATACGATGCACACTATGACTTTAAGAAATATCTAATACAAGAAGATATTTTGACTTATGAAAACTGAGGATAAATAACTGAAATGAAATCGTGATATATGTTTAAAAAAACTCGCCATTCTGACTGATTTCGCGTTTCTTGTTCATCTCTGGGGAATTTCATGGCGATGACGTCATGGCGTAAGTTGTGATGAAATGTTGTTTATCATGTTTAAAGGTCGCTGATATGCATGGCGAACTTATTGAACTCAATGAAAGACTACAAAAAATGTTGAACGCTCGTGAATGTCAGCTAAGAATATTAAAAGAAGAGCTTGTCAATCTTAGAGGACCGGTATGTTCAGTAAAGACCCGTGTGTTCATTATAGTACAATAGATGTACAATATTGATCGATATGTACAATATGAACTGTTTGATATGAATATGAAAAGCAGTAAATACTCTTTTCATTTTCTAAATATTTCTTAATAAAACTACGTATCTTCGTATGTTCTAGCTTCCTCAGGACAATAATCATGATGAATGTTTATATTTGACGGAGTTTGGTCCAAATTTCATGTCTGTCAATACTCGTCCTTTAATTAACATTTGGATTCCATCTGTTTTTGTACAAGGAAAGTCTCCAAACATTCACCATTCTTATCAGGTACAATTTTTCCATATATTTATCTCTAAAAAATGTAAATAACTCTTCCGATGTGATGTTGATGGTTATCTGGACTAGGTTAAGGGATAACTAGGAACTATAATTCAAGATTTATGATCTATATTTGGTATTTTCCTCGTTTCAAATACATCACCCTTGAGAAAAGTGTTTGTGGTTATCGTATTTAAAAGATCATGTCGTAGTTTAAATTTACTGCTCAAATATTTCACTTTTCATATGTATATGTTTAGTGGTGTTGAGAAAAAATCACAAAACTACAGATTCATACCGACAAGCCTGTTTCGTGACTGCTCACTCTTCAGGGGATTTTCCTTTAATCACGAAACAGGCTTGTCGGGATGAATCTGTAGTTTTGTGATTTTTTGTCAACACCACTAAACATATTTACGCTCTGCTCTCGGGCATCGAGCACTGTTTTATATGGAGAATCATCAAATATAAACTTCCTATATATATATATATCATCTGCTCAGTGGTCCAGTTATTGTCGTCAATAAAGAATTTAACATTGTTTACTTCTCAAGGTTTATATCCGTATCAAAGACGATGAATGGAATGTTTACAAAAGATACTCGGATTTTTATGCCCTACATAAGAAGGTTTTTAATAAACATCAGTATTTTAATTTTTTTAATCATATTGTTTTGCCGTAATGTACAATCCCTTCCTTTTCCTTTTTATGCACAGACAAGCAAGCAGTTTAAACCTGTTGCACAATTCACGTTTCCCGCGAAGAAAATTATTGGAAATCGTGACGTCAATTTTGTGGAAACACGTCGGAAACAATTGGAAAATTACTTGAGAAAATTGATCAATTATAGTCTGGGTGCTGTTCCAGAGTTAGGTGAAAATCCTTGCAAGAGTTCTTTGTTCAAATACTTTCCATTTTTCATGTGAGTAAACACGTGATCTTTTTCATGTGAGTAAACACGTGATCTTTTTCATGTGAGTAAACACGTGATCTTTTTCATGTGAGTAAACACGTGATCTTTTCATGTGAGTAAACACGTGATCATGTTTGAGTGTAATTTATTGTTCAATATACAGAATATTAAACGATTTTTTAGTGTTAATGTTTGTAAGGCAAGAATAGACAGAAAAAATTGAAAGTCAAAACAAGAACAAAAAGCAATCAAGCGCATGCGCTGATTGGTCTATAGCTGTGTTTTCATTAGCTTGTGCAAACCGATCTGAGCTCAACAAATCAAATCAATCAAAGAGAATTCGCAAATCAATCATGAATACATTTTAGAGGAAAAATTAAAACGTTTGTTTTAAATTTGTCTGTTTTGCATTATTGATATTTTTTAAAAAAGATATTTTTCCTGTTTGCACTGGCTTATGCAAACCTCGGAGACGTTTGTGAGAACTCTTGAGCATGTGCAACACTCTACCTTCGGTTTCGGGCTTGCACTGATCTGCTCTCGAGTTCTCCCAAAGGTCTCCTCGGTTTGCATAAGCCTGTGCAAACACAGTAAAAATCTTTTATTTCGTAATAATACAACACAAAGAACTCAAACTTTGGCTTGTTTTGGAAAGAAAATGAAAATGCTACTACCTATTATTTCATGGATAGTTTATCAATTTTTCTCTAAACTTTCAGCAAATATTTTACAGGCAAACTTCAACGGTATCATCTGTTTCAACGACGACAACAACAAAACAAACTGTTCCTCCTACATATAATGGTTAAAAGGTAAAACTTGTAGGATGTCTGTCAAAAAAAACAGAGCATAGAAATTGTATAAGTTGTATTGTATATATATAACATACGTATAGTTCAGTATATATAAATATAATATGTCTACAAAGTAGAAGAATTTCCTGATGCATCAACTTCAACGATTCTTTATTGTATGTGTTATATACAGATATAATTTGTCAGTATTTGCTACTATATAATAGTACATCATACTGGGTTTTAACAAGTTAAAACATAATATTTAACTTGAAATGAAAACAATCGTATATTAAATACATCACACGAAACCTACTATGCTATTAAATGTTGTGCCATCTCTGCACGATTTGATCAATTTACATATCCCGCGTCACCCAGCTCTTGCTGACGAATGTTTATACGACTTGACACGTGACCGATTTTGATCAATACGTCATATGACTTTTTGCCGATCTTTCCCGCGCTATGTGTAAAGAGATTTCTTGCTGAAACAATCTTTATCGTAAGTATTACGTAAAATATTTCATTTGTAAGTTTCAAAGTATTACAGTGAGTAATATAACCTTTTTATTTCAAAGAAGCGTAACGCGTACAGTCGTTATTGTAAGTATTGCACAAAATTTCTAAGAATAAGATTTACTACTTCCTACATGTATGCATTGTAATATGAAGATGTCTTCAGCTAAAGACGAAACGTTATTGTTGATAAAATTATACACCCATGGCCATATTAAAAGTTTTATGATGGGCAATTATATTTATACTAAGAATTCGCTTTCCGCCTTGCAAATCCATTTCACAATATTTTATAACATCACAACAAGATAAACCTGTTGAATACATGATTCTTTCTTTGAAGCTGTTGCAAAAAGTCGTTTCCAAACTCGAAAAAACGAAAATGACCGTTGAAGAGTTACGTTTTTTTTAAAAAAATTTTACCCTAAAATATCAGCTGCTTCTTCCTCAGTCAAACTTTATACTTCATTCCTCATTTTTTTTTCGAAGCTGTCGTGAAAAGTCTTTCAAGAAGTCAGAAAAGATGTTGACGAAGAAACATGGCATTGCCGTAGTTTTTGTTGTATATGGTGGTTTTTTACCAGAGGTTTGACAATTGCTGGTTTATCAAAGATCTTTACGTTAAATACATGATTATTTTTTGCTAAGCTCTTTGAAAAAGTCGTTCAAGAACTCAAAAAAGACGTTAATGAAATGACGACCGTTACAGAATGGCATTGCGGAAATTTTTATTGCACAAGGTCGGGTTTCTCTAGGCAAATTGTTGCCTCCAATATTAGCTGCTTTTTTGTCCATCGTTTGTATCTTTACTGCTTACTGAAATAACTGCCGAAAGTTTGTGTAAGAACATGTTACATGTTACATGTTCGTTCGCTGAATCCCGGCTATCGGGCTCATATAAATAGTCCCTAAAACTAAAGGTAAGTTTATGAAAGTAATCAACTGCATACATTGCCGTTGACTATAGTCTTTGCATTTTCACACATTTTCACACCAAAGACTACAGTTCACGCATTTTCACACTTTTTCACACCAAAGACTATAGTCTTTCATTTTACACACTTTCACATTTGTCGCATGGATATTGAAAATTCCTTAAAAGGAACAACATATAATGCCGGCTGATAGTTGAATAATAAAATAAAAAAAAATACATTGTAATAATATTTTTCTATCAGGTTCATTCCTTTGATGTGTGCAAAACTAGTTGGTCAACCTTCATTTACCACTGAAGATCTTTGTATAATTTCAATGTCTGTCACTACGCCAAGCCCACAGGTTCATGGAACATTGTTAGCTACGTTGATGCAAGCACAAAGGATTTTCCTCCATTGAAAATGTAATGCACTAGTGAGGTTAGCAAAGTGATTGGGTTTCGACATTTTACAGTAGTTTAATTGCCAAACGTCGTTTTTATGTACACCCTGTAGATTGCTAATTAAAAGAGATCGAATGTTAATGCTAATAAATACAATAAGAAAATGAGATGAAATCAACAATCTAGAGGGTTTATCAAATCATTTTTGACATCGGTGGACCTTCAGAATTTGCATGATTCAGCTGTAGTTGTTCCCCAAGGAGACTTAAATGTTTGGGATTTGCTATTTGCTGTAGCTGAAGTATACGTTTTTATTTATATTGTATTAAATTGCATTTACCGCTCTATGGGGATTAATTACTTCGAAGTGATGAATTATGCAAATTCTAAATTTCACAATGTACAATTGACGACACGCCTGGTAAATGACCAATCAGAACACAACACGTTTACAACACACCTAGTCACTGACCAATCAGAATACAACACGTTCGTGAAACTTGGGCCATAGTCTAAGACTAAGAACGTGCCATTTGAACGTGAAAGTCTGTAGTTGCACGAAGAACAGTTAGCCGAAGTCGAAATTATTCCAAGGTGAAATATCTCTTGGAGTGCTTTGAAAAAATGTTCAGGTAAATGTCTTGTTTCATGTTCTTTTGCATTGAGTAAACATTGAATTGGGACACTGCATGTGATGTTCATTAATGCAAAGTGCAGTGTGGCCTTTACATAAAGTTTCCGTCTTAGTAACTTTTGTTCCCTCTATGCTTGATTTTAGACATAGACATTCTTCCCTTAAACGACAATTAGTCATCAAATCAGATTGAGAAACAACAAACAAATGTTGGTGTATTTACCATGATCGTAGACTCTACAATTAAAGAAAGTGGTTATTGTTCACAGCGGTTGAAGAGAATTGTGGCTGTTGTCGACCAGTTCCACGACGCTCATCTAAACATAAGAACAAAATACAATTCTGTAATTTGGTTGAAATTCTTCTTCCCTTGAACTATATTACTAGTGAATAAAATGTTCAATGTAAGTATGTTATCAATGTTTTCATTCATGGAAGTATAGTAGTGTGAACTGACATTGGTTTCAATTGTCCTATGTAGAAACCTGATCAAGAATGGACAATAGACGTACTTTAATGAAGACCTCTGAACAATGATCAAGAATGAACAGCATACTTTAATGAAGTCCTATAAAGAATACTCAAGAATGAACAATTTACTTTAACGAAGACCTCTGAACAATGATGAACAATGGACAATATACTTTAATGAACTCTTCTGAACAATGATCAAGAATGAACGATATACTTTGATGAAATTGAAAAATACGTGACTTCTAATGCCCTAAAGACCATCTCTACAAAGAATGCAAACGCTAAACACTCTTCTGGGGAAATGCATCCATCAGCCTAACGCCTGTTTTCATGGAAATGTCAATATTATGGCCTTTTCTAAAACATTTTCCTGGGAGTTTTCCTGCTGAGATCAAGACTGGTCAATCAATCGCAATGATGGAAAAACCACGCCGCTATCAAATCTCCTTGCTTAACATCCGATCGTTTCATCTTCACAATTGGCATGAGATTTGTCATTCATCGTAGTCTGTCGTCGAACTGCCAAGGATTTGTCGAAAACCGTAAGTGTAATAATAATAAACCTTTTATTTAGTTAGGCCTGTTAACAGGTCAAATCTCTAATATAATTTGGGCAATAGCCACAACAAATCCTGGTGTTCAGTATATTCCACTGTAAGGCTATTTTTTATTGAAGAAATGCAAATAAATATATTTAAAGAAATTTACATCTGCATTTTCTAAAATAGTCTTGATTAAGAGGTGATAAAAGTGTCCATGAATGGATATGGTTCCACTTTACAATTATTGTTATTTAATATCGGAATTATGAAAATTCCTTGAAAAACAACAATGTTGGATTTTTTAAAAACATTGTTATGTATAGGTACATTTTGTAAAAAGTTTAAGCAAGTTCAAGTCCATCTGTATCATTTATTATCCAAACGTAACCACATTTAGAACAATTCCTAAGTATTATTTTCAACAGGATCATTCTCTGATTCTTCAGATGCATTTGATTTCTGTAGTTCAACAATCTTATTAAAAATTTTCTGTTCAGTTTCACCTTCCTGGCGTAAAAATCCAAAATATATAATGCAAAAAAGCATGCCAACTGTTATCACCAATCCTGTAAAGGAGCTTTGTCGACCACTATCATAGTATAAAGTGTCATTTACTGTATGATTTTTCGCAGCAGACTTTGAAAATGCTCTTGGTTCATCTTTTGAAATTTCTTCACTTGATGATGAAGAGTAATGCTTTTTAGGATAAACGTGTAGTTATATGAGTGGAGAAACAGTTCTGAAAAAGAAAAGTTAGTTGAATGTTGAGTCTGGTAATCTAGCGAGTCCAAAAGATCCACAAGAATTCAAACGATTTCATAAGCAGTACAACAGTTGCACATTTGCAACTTGTCAGCATTTTGCCTACACATATAAAATCTGCATTTAAGGACATATAGCACCCCAATAATTTACCTCTTACAATTACAAATCAACATGTGCTTAGTTGCTTTAAAAAATGACGTTGTTAGCAAATATCTCGATGGCAATTTCCAATGCACTTTCATCGCTTCAAAGAAAGTCGCCATTTTGTTAACTCATTATTGACCGCTTTCGTTTTCATATTTTACATTTCTTCAGTAAATTTTCCCAAGAATCAAAAGCGTTCCCGCGGTGCACGCTGGTATTAGCACGTGTCTTTTTCTTCCTTCTTTCTTTTTTCGACGCCATCTTATTGTGGTCAAGATGCTTAAACCAATTTGTTCGAAGACTTTCACGACTCCTCGTCGTCCTTTTGAGAAAGAACGCTTGGATCAAGAATTGAAGATAATTGGGAGTATGGGTTAAGAAATAAACGCGAAGTATGGTGTTAAGTACACTTTGGCTAAAATTCGCAAAGCTGCTCGAGAGTTGCTGACTCTAGACGAAAAAGTTCCGCGTCGTTTGTTCGAAGGCAACGCATTGCTACGTCGTCTTGTACGTATTAGGGTTTTGGATGAAAGCCGCATGAAGCTCGATTATGTTTTAGGCCTTGGAGTGACGTCTTCAAACTCAAGTTTTCAAATTGGGTCTGGCAAAATCTATCCATCATGCTAGAGTTCTTATTTTCCAGCGTCATATAAGGTTGAATTGAATTTTTGATGAGTTAAAAAGCATTTTAATTGCTGGAACTCTTTTAATCATGATAACCAAAAGCTCATCACATTTCAATTGTCAATTCTTTGATTTCAGGGTTCGTAAACATTTAGTCAACGTTCCTTCCTATATAGTACGTTTGGATTCGCAGAAACACATTGATTTTAGTTCCAAATCACCATATGGTGGTGGTCAACCTGGTCGTGTAAAACGTAAGAACATGAAGAAAGGAGGTCAAGGTGGATCTGGTGGT